CTAGTGAATAAATTCTTGGGGTAACAACACTGCCTATTACTGAGACAGGTCATGAAAATACATTTTTGAAAGCAAATAATTAGCTCTGCAGTAGCTTTGTAAGCATTTGACAGGTGCAACCTGCACTTCAAATAAACATCTGCACTGTTAAAGTCATACCAGGGCATGTGGGGGGAGTGTGCCCAGAAATGAAAATACACGTAGTTAGAGGCAAGGAAAAACAGGGGCCAAAGGTAAATGCCTAAGCTGTTCTTGTCTTGAAATGTAAGACCTGTAATATTTAGCTTAGCTATAACTGTTCTTCTCTGGCTCTCAGCATTTGGGGGGGGGGAGGAGGGAGGGTGTGGTGTGTGTGTGGGGGGGTGTTTCTGTTTTTATTTGAGGTAAGTTTAAATTCAGCTGACCTGACAAATGGTACCTAGCAAAATCAATCCCATGCACTAAGTAAAATGCACATAAATGCTCACTTCAAACACTGCCTTACCAATACACTTACATGCTTGGGTAAAAAGAAAAAATATTTTTCAAGAGAACTGGACAGACAAAGTTATGGAGCTCAGCTTAGCATTTAAGTTAACACTCATGACTTTAGAAAAGTTTTCAGTATGTCTTAGGAGATATTCTTTCAAACTGAGCCAAAACAAAGTCACTTTGAATTAGTAAATCCTTTGAAAGTCTGGCCCCTGGCTGCACTTAACTGTTGATTCCTGTCTGACCTATCCAAAATACTATAATAATTTTTAAAAAACCCCAACAACCCAAAACCAAACACAACCAAAAATCCTAAATCCCCAAAACATGAAAATAGGAGTCCAGAGAAAATACAGTCCAGAGCGATCTTAATTTATCTTGAGAACACCTGAGTGAAGTCATATTTAGTCCCTAACAAAAAATTTAAGCCACAGTACTGTTACAATCAATGCTATATTAAAGGAGACAGATAATTACCTAGTGCTGCACACATAGAAATGAAACCTTGTAATCTTATGTTTGCATTCAATACTGCTAACATACAAAAGAAACCAATTATACTATTTTTTTCTTGAACTCATTGACAGCCTCATGCTTAAGTGGACTAACCAGATTTAAATTACATATATTTTAAAAAAAGGACATACAAACCTTCAAGAAATAGAGGATTTGAGTTTCCTCAGAGAAAATAAATTGAAGGCAGACACCACAAGGCATTTCAGATACTGTTTCAAGCTGGCAGCATTTTATACTGTATCTATCTACTATAGGTGTCTCTATTTTCACTGTCAATTAAATAGAGGGGAAATTGTTGCCGGACACCTTTTAATTCCTACCTTCTATCAAATCTCTCTTTGTCTCAAAGAATACTGCATCCAACTGGTTACTAAAAGCTGGAATTACCATTTATTTGCTACTGATTTATCCTTCGGCTCCACTCACCAGAAATGGTATCAAAGCTGCTGAGGTGTTTGGTAGTTTTCTGCATTCCTGTTAAGGTACCAAAGCCAAGCAGTTTTGCAATACTGAAGGGGCCCTCTGGGAAAACCAGTGTTTAACTACATGAGAGGGCACCTCCCTAGTGAATAGCTATTTACTTTGGGTTGAAGAAGAGAAAAAAATTTCAGTAAAAGTCAAACATCCCATCTCATCAGATGACATGACTGCATACCAGAATGTTGGTTATTGCCTACATGGACATGCTTCTCAGATACTTTTCTTTATGAAAAGAAAAAGAGCAGGAACAAACTAGTTAATAAATATTTGGCAATTTTGGCTGATGGGTGTTGATTACAGTTACGAAAGGCTAGAAAATTTGTAAAGTAGCACTCCTGAGATCCAGGAGTTTGGATTCACTCAGCCCTACCCAGTTTGGCTGAAATTAAAAACATCCTTTTGTTCCCAAAGCAGTTTCTTTTCTAATTATCAAACACTGTTAAGCAAGCAAACATAGGAAACAAACAGCAAGGTGTTTTTGAGAAAGACACTTCAGTTACTGCCTTGTAAAGACTTAATGAAAGTACTTCTCTTGTCATTTTAAGCAATTTCTAACGTGTGCATGTGCTCTTTTCCCCATAAATTGTAGAGCTGGAAGACAAAAGAGTGCAGAGGGATTTAGTGGTTGTTAAAATAAGTGAAATGTCTTAGAATGGAACACTGAACAAGAACCAGGTGCATTTCTGCTGCCAATCCACTGAATTCAAACTAAAACAAAGAGTATTTTGGTCAACAGTAAACTTTGGTGTTTACCCATTTTCCATATCTAAAAAAAATAATTCTGTATATCAGCCAACTGAATGCTGCACACACAAATGGCAACCTCTGTCTAGAATAATTTTAGCATGCTATGAGCATACTTGGAAGAAACCTGAGATAAAGCAGTCAGAGCGAAAAAACCAGGAGCATTCATACTTTCTCCAATAATTTACCTTCTCTATTAAAATGAGTTTCTGCTCTTTGACAATGTTATTTTAATATCTCTTTAATATCTTTATTTTTAAAATCTGATTTTATTTTCAGAACACCCCAGAGCCCAGGCTTGTACCAGGATCCACTGGTGGGTTCCGCACAAACTAATGGTTCCTATCCTAAAATAGACTTGCATTTTC